TTTTTAGTTTTATTTAGTAACTTTCAGGAGGGTGTACTCATTTTTGCAACACAACATTTTATCACTTTGATAAATCTTATTTTGCTGAATAATTTTAACATTCTTCTTTGGTAACTGATCAAGCAGACTTGCTGGAATATTATATCTCTAAAAAACCATAACATGTCTTCGAAGCAAAGAGTAATTGCTGAATTTGTTAAGTTTCAGAGGGGGTATACTAATTTATGCTGCTGTAACGCCAAGCCAGCAGAGGGAGCCCTCGCCCGAGTACTGACCGTGCTCCACTCCCTCTGCTTCCTCTGCTAGTCAGTGACGAGGTACACAATTCACGTCTCAGATCTGGAGTGCATTCTGCAATCAGTTGGATATCAATGTCAGTTTAACTTCAGGCTATCACCCACAAGCCAATGGACAAGTCGAACGACTCAACCAGGAAATAGGAAGGACACGACTCCTCCTTTAGCAGCTCAGCTCATGAGAACTTCAACACGCTCGCACCCTCTCCGTCTCAGCATTTGTGTCTTGACAATCTGTATTCCGTAAATTATTCAGTGACAATAACATTTGCATTGAAGGCAGGCGGCAGTACCAGCGTGTCCCAGTACCTACCGTGAGCTTTAGAAACAGGAGCCAGAAGGAGATCATCACCACCTTGCCAAGAAAATCTTCTCGGTGGAACCCACAAGCACTCTGGGCTTGAGTAAATTATGTTGTGGATGCATGGATAGGAAGTGAACTTGGCTTGATATGGGACTTATTGGCAGAAATGTCATTGCGAGATGGTCTGATGTCACTGATGTTGGCGTGAAAGCACCTCAGGGCATCTTCCTGTTACAAACGCTCAACTCTGATTGGTCACTCTAGTGTATTTCCACTAACAGCTGCAGTTTTGGCTGGCTGATCAATAAGTGGCTTGTCAGTGAGGTCATGTGTCACTTCCTGGTGGATTTCCTTAAATGACTCTTTTCAGGAAGTGATGTCATGGGGAATGTAACAGTTGGGAATGGAGCTATCACTAATTAATACAATCCAGAGATACATTTTGAAGTTTCAGTATCAAATAGTTGTGCACATCATTGTGGTGAGCATAGGCCATTGAAAAGGAGCATTTCAGGCTCAAGGTTGTTCTATCCAGAATGAAATAATAACCTGCATGGAGCATCACAGTAACAGGTGCTGGGGGGGCCATTCAGACATATGTGACTGGCACTGAGCCCTTGGATATGGAAAGGCAATGTTCTCAGATGAGAAAAAATATCACTATGCGGCATGAGAGCACTGCAGACTAAGATACAAATGTCTCAAATGGAGAATTTTGAGAGATTTATCAGCTTGAATGGAAAAATGACTTGAATGATAATGTTTGTTTTATTTACAAAGTGACTATTAAAAATTAATTACATGTACTTTTTGAGAACTTATTTTGCAAAGCTGCTTGTAAAAAGTAAAAAGTGGCTTTAATACAGCAAGAGAATAAATATTAATAAATATTTGTGAATGATGTATAAATAATACTTCAGAACTTGAAAGAATATGAAAAGGAATATTAAATCAAGAGAATAATCCATTATAATATATGATACTTAGTGAATTTTCAGGTACTAAATGTGGATTCAGTTTATAAAGGAACATATACCTGATTTGAAGTTGTATTATAAGCCATTATGAATACTGGATTTTATGAATACATTTATGCATAAAGGCTTAGAAAATGTTACCCATATTTTTGCTGACATATTAATAGCAGTTCATGTGGCAGCTCTCTGCTCTTCTCTGCATTAATGGGAGGGTGAAATGGAGCAGGAGACATTCTCATCTGTAATAATTTCCAAAGAGGTCTCACTGTCTCACATTTACCCCAGGCACACACACACACACACACACACACACGCACGCCTCCACTCACCCACGCGGACACTTTAATTCACTCTAAAACACACACTCACACACCCACACACATTCAGCTGAGAAGCCCAGTGCTGATGTTGTCTGACAACATCTCAGATCTTGTATTCCACATTTTCTGAAGTGCTTGAGGATTGTACAAGAAGCCTGGGATTAATTAACGGTCACAGCTTCTGTTTCTCATGTTGTTTCATAGCTACAGCAACATTTTCATGCTTCAGGTTCACATTAGAGAGGACGTTGATGAATACAAGTTTTATTGATATGACTTATCCATATTTCTTAAAAATTCCTTGTTATGCCAGCTCATAAAAATGTAACAATATACATACCAAATATCAATGCAAGTACTTTTTCGATCTTATTTCTCACATCTATGATGCAACAATATTAAGTCTGATATAAAATACAGTAAATGTTTCAGTAGAAAGAGCAAACAAAATCTAAATCTCTAAAAAAAATACAGACTGCAGATAGAAACCTATCACCCCATGCAAGTTTACACACTCTCACACACTTGTTTGCACAAAATAATGAGTCTTTAGACCAAATTAGCACAAATCCAATGAGTTTAGCATCTGTTTGTCATAGCATCTCAATAATATTACGGTACATTCTTTACAGCACCAAAGAAAAAAAAAATATAAGAGCAATCCAGCACAAACTCCATATAAAACCAACAGCATGACACCTAACACCATATTCATTTTCATAAAGTAGAAGTCTGACTATTCATAAAGTTCTCTGTGTCCTACCTTGTTGTGATACGAGCAGAGAGAGGACAGGGTACGTGCTCAGTGATTCTGTCTTGGCTGAAGCTCTGCTTCTCTGTAACCACAGAGACTGTGACTTACTCTGAATGTACCAGAAACAGCCAATAGCTGAGCAGCCTCAGCCGTTCCAATACAGTTGCACAAGGAATTTCTTAAAAGCTTTCTGTCAATCAAGCATATTCTCAAGGTTTCATGTAATGGGTTTCTGATCTTTAGAGAAACTGTCGTAATATGGTTTATGACTGTCCTCTCAAAAACCTGCCCTCTGCACTGACACAGTGGCAAAGTTTAAGATCAAGTGACTCAGAAATAATATTGCAGTTGTTAACACTTGTCACTTCTTTTAGACCAGTTTTGATGTGTATCATTCAACAAATACTAGACTGTAAAAAATAATATTATTAATCAATATTTTTGTCTTGTTTTACTCTCAAAAAATATTTAAGCAGGACAAATTTACTTGTAAACCAAAATGTGTAAATTATTAAAATGTTTATTTAAGAGAATGTGAGAATGTAACTTGTTTCCTAAATAAAACTTGTTTTAGAGAATTTAATTAAATAAATGTATTTTTTTTTTACCCAGTTGGTTATTTTTTCCTGCTTTTTCTTTCTTTAAAATGTTCTAAATTTACAGTTACTGTAAGAGTACTGTAAAGAGTACAGTACTGTGGAGAGTACATTTCTTAATATATTTAGCAATTTTGCTATATTTAAAATAAATAAAGTAAATGCATATTGTTTTAGGGATGTTTATGGGTTTTTTTTACTTGAAAATGTGACAACAGCACTGATTAAAAAATATATAATATTGTATTTCTTTAACAGTTTGTACAGTGGTATCTGTAGTGTTGAAATATTTGTTCTGGTGCATTAGTTTAAGTCACCAGATATTTGCCTCTGCAAAGGGCAAGTTTTGGGAGGGAGAAGTTTTTTTTTCTTTCCCCACTTTGATTAAAAAGGGGGAAAAACTGAAAGAAGAAAAATAACAAACAACATAAATTACAGAACAGTGAACTGAAGAACATTATGTACAAAAATGAAATAATGAACAAATGCTGTTTTTGGCACTCAAATATGATTCATGTCATAAGCAGGTTTTTTTCTTTTTCTTTTTCTTTTTTTTCAGATCAGTCTCTCAGTCCATTTCATCCTCATCAGGAAATACAAGATGCCGACATATTAATCTTGCTTTGAAGAGATTACATGTATTTTCCTAGCTGAGACAGTTTAATTGGCAGCGCTGTGGAGAGGACAGTAAGAATATTTCAGTTTAACCACACCTAGATATTCTGCATGCAGGTGGTTAGTTAGTTTCAAGCCAATCAAAATCCAGTACTATCCAATCGATCAATTAAATCAATAGATTTGTCTGTCATTAGAGAGGATGATGGGATTGCAGTTAATACATTCATCCTGCACTGGCGTGCCAAAATCAGGGGATGACAAAACAGAGAAAACAATGAATATGCAGAACGTTGTGGATTTTAGCATTAATTTTGGGCCTTACGTATTGCAAGCCAAGTATTATTACATAACACTCTCTTTAGCAGATGTTATGAAAGACCTCTTGAGCAGACACAATGTCTTAAAAGCAACCAATGACAAAGCGCTCGATTATAGCTGATGGATGGGAACGGTGCATTACTCTGGTGGAGGAAATATAAAAGACAAAAATACCCTAAGTCTCACATTAGCTGTCGGAAACGGCTGAACCTATAATGAAACAAAATAAAGATGGTGTGTAAAAAAAAAAAAAATTATGGTTCTGAAAGATATCTAAGAAATTCATTATGTTTTCTCAGCCATTACACACATTTACCATGGTAACTATGGCCTCTGCCAATACCGTAGAAATTGCTACTACAATAAGTGAATATGGGATTTCTTTTCTGAATCTTTTATTTTTATTTATTAACATTTTTGACAATGACAGTGTTACCACAGTTTTTACAGTTTTAGTTCTAAATCTTGTTTAGCAAATCTTGTTGTATCGCTTCAAAAACAGTCAATGTACTAAGAAAAAAGTACAACAGCAGCAAGTTGAAATGTCAAAGTGTAAATGTATTAACTTTATTAATCATATAAAAACAAGACAGTTGTTATAAGACAAGCAGTAAGTTTCATTTCATGCATGTCATGCATTTTTCCAAGTGTGGATGCTTCAAACGAACCCCAACAAAATATGAAGAAATGGAACACTAGGTGGAAGTAAAGCAGATAAAATATCTGACAGATATTTTAGTTGTAGTCTAGTATTTTTAGTGGTCTGGCTGTCAGTAATGTTTATTTGCTTTCTTAAAGTTACAGTAAGGTTCAACATCAGTTAAAGCATTACTATAGGTATCATGAACTAAGAATGAACATTTATAAAGAAATTATTAATGGTTTATTGGTAACTCATGTTTAACCATAATACATTAACTAATGTTAATTTACACAACTTAAAGGGGTCATATGATGTTCCTAAAAATAACATTATTTTGTGTATTTGGTGTAATGAAATGTGTTTATGCGGTTTAAGGTTAGGAGCGGTGATTCAAAAACATGAAAACCCATTATAAAGAGGCATTAGTTGCATCCAGTGGGGACATAATTATGGATTATAATAACTTATACTGTCTTTTTACGCGTTGCGTTAACACTCCAAAGAGAAAGGAAAAATTGAAATTGCATCATATGACCCCTTTAAAATGTTCAAAATGTATTGGCATAAGTAGAACTTAGGATTCACCAAGATTAATAAAAGTATGAAAGTAGTTGTTCATGATACCTGGTGCATTAAAATATAGTCCAACCAAAAATGAAAATTCTGTCATAACTTACTCAATCTCATTTAGTTTAAAACCTGTATGACTTTCTTTCTTCTGTGGAACATTATAAAAGAACACTGGAGCCAACTGACTTCAATTGTTAAGACATTTCTCACAATATCTTCTTTTGAGTAAATAATAGTGAGTAATGTGAGTAAAGGCCCATTCACACCAAGGATGATAACTATAACGATAACAATAACTATTAAGTTTAATAATCGTTCCAATTCTGTGAGAATAAAGGAGTCCAGCTGATGAATGATAAAATCATTGATAGCCAATCAAAATCCATCCTGATTTAATGAGCTTGAGCATTTAAAGCAGCAGATGTGACATAACAGCTGAAAGTTATTATGCGTTGGTGTGGATGCTAATATAGTTATCATTATAGGTATCGTTCTTGGTGTGAACGGGCATTAAATAATAACAGAATTTTCAATTTTGGATGAAATATCCCGTAATGTTAACATATGGAACCTTATTGTAAAGTGTTACCAATAACTCCAAGAAATGTAAGAAAAAGTTAGTATGGAATTAGAAACCGAAGTGTCTTCTCACTATTTGAATGGTACCTGTGTCTGTCGGGTCTTTGGTTTCATTTCCAAGCATCTGTCTTCCAGAGCTGAAGGTTCTGATGGCACCAGGCCTGATCTCAGAGCGGTACACCGTACTGTTGGGTTTGAAGATCTTGCTGCGGTAGCCCAGAGGGTGGTACGACAAAGGGGCTTCCTTGGGATCTTCATCATCATCATCACTAATAACTACCAGTTCAGCCTGGATTCCTTCATCTTCCTCATCAGATTCTGCATTTTGATAACCCATGAAGATCATGGTAACAGGTTCACCAGATTCCACCTCAGGAGGGCGGAAGCTCACAAAGTTGAGACTAGAGTCTTCTTTTGGATTCAGAGGGGAATACCATCCAAATCCCAGCCCGGAGTCTGCCGTTGGAGTTATCCGAAGCTGTTCCTCATACTCTTGTATGGGAGAAGATGCCGGGCTGATCCTGGTTATGCCGCTGTATTCGCTATTAGCATATGATCCATTTTGAGCCAGTTGGTTGGTACCCAAATACTGGTTGGTTTTAGTGGTTGGAATGTAAAGAGCTTCTTGTTTTCTAAAGTTCTCAGCCTGAAAGGGACTCTGGTTCTTGTTGGGCATCTGAAGGCTGATGTAGCCTCTTTCTGTCCTCTGAGGGGTTGTAGGTCGACTGAATGGGCTTGAAAACACTGGTTCATGGTATTCCACATCTGTTGGGACTTTCTTCTCTGAGGCTTTCATCAGAAGTTCCTCTACTTCAAGAGGGCTCATCTCATTCATGTTATTCTGGGAGTCCTGTCCATCAGGTGGTAAAGCATAGACAGATTTATGCCCATCATCATAGACTTTGATGCCTTGTTGTTTGAGATCCAGAGGTGCGATAGTGGCTGTGGAGAGGATGTGACTCTCACCGGTGCCAAGATCTTTTTTCACACTGATCTTCATGGTGTATGTAGCTGAAGGAAATAACACTGTTAAACACAAACCAAATAAAGAAATAATAATAATAAAAAAGGATGGATCCATCATTTGAATAAGTGTTTAAATGTTTCTGAAAGATGTTTCTTACTATATATTTACCAAGGCTGCATTTATTGGAAAAATACAGTAAAAACACTAATATTGTGAATTATTATTACAATTTACTAAAAAAAAAGTTTTCTATTTTAATATATTTTAAAATGTAATTTATTTCCATGAAGTAAAGTTGAATTTTCAGCACCATTACTCCAGTCTTCAATGTCATGTGATCCTTCAGAAATCATTCTAATATGCTGATTTGGAGCTCAAGATACATTTCTTATTAATATCAGTGTTGAAAACAGTTGTGCTGCTTAATATTTTTGTGGAAACCATGATACACTTTTCACGGTTCTTTGATGAATAGGAAGTTAAAAAGAACAGCATTTCTTAAAATGAAATTCTGTGCCATGCCCATAATTACAGTCATGGATAACATCCTTTTTCCTTTATTAAAAAAATGAAAAGAGCATTTACATACCTTGAATTGCTATAATTACACAAGTGGACAGTTTGATGACATGTTTGCACTGTCTAAACATCCTGAAATATTTGTGCAATATTTCAACTGCTCATTATATCAGCAAATAGTTGGTGGTGTAAACAAAAGCCTTTGATGTACCTTTTTTTCCCTGTAATTCAACATTGTCATGTTTAGCTGGCGTGACATTTCTTCTCCTGGTTTTGGGAGTATAGCACTTTGGGACATCAGGTATGGCCGTGTAGATGTATTGGACTGGTTCTGTAAGAAGCAATGCGAATATCTGTTGAGGAAGTGTCATGGGAAAGAATACTGTACAAATAGCAATATAGCAAAAAGAAGAATTTTCTTTACCTGGCCGGATATTTGCGTTTACTTCCTGCGGGGAAATACAGTAATTTGTGCAGTACCAAAAGTGGTTTTGATGAAGAGATAAGAAGAACAAAACCAAGTTTCATACAGTACAAAACACACCAGATCACATATCACGCAAACCGATCCTTTTCTGGCATCAACTCAATTTTATCTTGATGTCAATTTGAAACCGAGGGGCATCTTCACAGCATGCTGCATTGTAATGATTTCCCTTGTTCCCAACTCAAAAGCTGATCCAATTTAAGTGGCTTGGTGTTTTAATAAGCGGTAAGGAGTCTCCAGGCCTGTTAAAGTGATTACCCAAGCAGTACCTTTATGATGTCCTCTGGAGTTTTCTCCACCTTCTTCAGTTGTTTCAGAAGAATCTCCTGTTTTGCAGAAAGCGCCAGCTCTTTTGTCTCCAGAACTGCAATTTCCTGCTCTATTCTGGAAAGATGAAGACAAGTATTTATGTACATTATTTATATACATATTTATTTATATTTTTGCTTCTTGTACAGTTGAGCTTAGTTATATTTATATGAAATAATGTAACATATTTTTTAAACTTAAACTCCACTATTTTTGAAAATAGGCTCATTTTCCAATTCCCCTAGAGTTAAACAGTTGAGTTTTACCGTTTTCGAATCCATTCAGCCGATCTCCGGGTCTGGCGGTAGCACTTCGAAAATTTAAGCTGAATTTTCGTTTTTTTGGAAAAAAACGAAAAAGGAGCCGTTTTCTCATTTATCTACTTTCAATATTAAATAAAAAACAAATGATCGAATGATACACGGATTTTAAACAGTTGGGGTTTACCGTTTTCTAATCCATTTAGCCGATCTCTGGGTCTGGCGGTAGCACTTTTAGCTGCAGCTTAGCATAGATCATTGAATCTGATTAGACCA